GAGAGAGAGAGAGAGAGAGAGAGAGAGAGAGAGAGAGAGAGAGAGAGAGAGAGAGAGAGAGAGAGAGAGAGAGAGAGAGAGAGCAACTATTTGGGCTATCGCCCAGTGTCGGACATTGTATTCTGGACAGAGACGTTGGGAGACTATTGTTGAGATTATTCTATCAACGGGTTTTTAAATTGCAGCCTGCCCTGCCTTCCCCTCTTTATCTATTTCTCCGTGGCGCTTTGTCTGTGGATGTGCTGGACATGGTGGCTATCTTCTGTGTTTAAGCCACCATGTCCACCCCTGTGTATGAATGCTGATGGGTGTATGCATTTGTTCCTGAGTCTAATGAGTCAATCTGTGTATTCCAGTCTTCCGCTGCACTGCTATTGTTGTTGTTTCTTCAGTGTAATCCTTGGTTATTGTGCCATGTCTTTCTGCCACTGGAAGGCATACGACAGAGAGAGAGAAAAGAGAGTGGGCGCACTGCAGTACAGGGCCGATCCCAGCCAATGGGCGTGACTCGGTTGGTGCACTCATGAACTGTCGGAATACAGACCCAAGCTTGAATTTGGACGCTATCAGATCAACAGAAAAAAAAAAATTTCTGGGGACAATTAGAGCTTTCCTTTTTTTTGGTGGGGAGGGAGCGGGGGGGGGGAACGGTCAGGCCTGTTGCGTTTTCTTTGGCTTGCAAACATGGATGCCAGGAGCGAGGGGGGCTGTGGTATATGGGAACACACCATGTTTGACACCATGGAGTTTGACTACAAAAAACTGAACTCAACCCACCATTGCTATGGCAGCGGCACAAGGCATGAATTCTCCTCTCATAAGGCACATTTTTTGGGGGGGGGCCTGTTTCCTTTTCTTTGGCTTGCAAGCATGGATGCCAGGAGCGGGGGGGGGTTGGTTGGGGGGACACACCATGTTTGACCCCCTGGAGTTTGACTACAAAAAACAAAACTCAACCCACCATTGCTATGCCAGCGGCACAAGGCACGGATTCTCCTCTCATAAGGTGCGTTTTTTTGGGGGGCTGGGGTGGCCAGGCCTGTTTCCTTTTCCTTGGCTTGCAAGCATGGATGCCAGGAGCGGAGGGGTGGTGGTAGGGGGACACACGATGTCTGCGTACCTTACGAGAGGAGAATCCCTGCCTTGTGCCGCTGGCATAGCCATGGTGGGTTGAGTTTTGTTTTTTATAGACGAACTCCAGGAGGTCAGAACCATTTGAACCACCACTTCGGGCACCAGCTTACCAAAAGCTGCAGCCGTGCTTTTGACGTATGGGCCTGGCTGTTGCTGGTTTGGTTCATACTGGATGGGAAAATTTGCCGGCTCATGGAAGGGAGCAGCATCTGAAAACAGTTCAAAACACAAAAAGATTGATCACCAAGAACTCCTTGAAACTATGCATGGTTGGACCTAACTGAAGGCACAGATGACAAAGCTAAGACCACACCAATGGAAGAACACACTGGACTGTAAAGTGCAATGACTTGCACAGAATCAGTCTGAGATTTATGCAGTTCCCTGAATATTTGTGATTGCTAGTTTGATTTGCTGCGATTTCCCCATTCTGAGTGAGAATGCTGTTTGCTTGCATGTGTCCAAGTCCCTATGTGGTGATTCGTATGCGGAGCAGTAGCTGTGTGCTTGGGCTGGTAGGGGTTTCCATCAACTTGGGTAGGCCCAGCAGAGGTCTGCAGGGCTTATGAAGATCTGGTAGCCTCTACAAAGGTCATGAGAACCTATGAAACCGCGCGCTGATTGAGTGCGCGTGTGGTGCTCGAGTTTTTGAGCGCCGCTCAAAGCCGTGCTCCAGTGCGCCTTGAGTGCCTCGAGCGCGCTCGCGGGTGGGCCGGTTCGGCGCGTTCAGGGGTGTGTGGAGGGCTGGGAGGGGGTGTATGGGGTCCCAGGCAGCGGGGGGGCGGTTGGGGGGGAGTTGTGGCCAGCTGCCGACGGGTGGTTCGCCTCCCTTAATTACAAAATAAAAATAAAAAAATTGAAGCCCGACAAAATTCCACACAGCACTCTGTTAAGCGTTGCGCGAATGAGCGTGCACTCATTCGCGTTTGTGCACACTCGACCGCTGAAGTGCACGCACGTTTAGAGACTCCACACACACACACACACACACACAC